CTAATGAGAAGGAAGAACTCATTGGAAAAGAGCCTGATGCTGGGAATGATTGAAGGCAAAAGGAGGGGATGGCAGAGGTTGAGGTGGCTGGATGGGGTCACTGGGGCAGTTGGTGTGAGCTTGAGTGGACTCCAGGGGATGGTGGAGGACAGGAAGGCCTGAAGGAATGTTGTCCGTGGGGTCACGATGGGTCGGACATGACTTCACAACTAAGAACAACAAACCATACATTTAGAACAGGGTGGGGGAAGCTTGAGCCCAGATGTCAGATGCAGCCCTCAGGGGCTTCCCAACCGCACCTCAACGTCCCCTCTGAGCTTTGCCCCCATGCAGCAACCAGGCTTGGAAAAACACCTTCCAGAGGAGCCTAACTGCAGCATGGGATGAGTGGCATGAGGGATGCCCCGGTTGTTAGAAAAATAGTGAAAAAACATTCACCCCTCCCTGCAAAAAGTCCTCCCATCAAGGTTTGTTCACATGTTACTGTCACCCATAAAAGAAAATCAGAAACAGTTGCAAAGCCCTGGCACTGATAGAAGCAAGGTGACCCCTGAACTGCAGCTGGCGGGAAAGAATCTATCAAATGGTGGATCATATGATTCTGTTCATTGCGTAGCTTGGCTCATGCAGACTATTGTTTATTTGTTATAAAAGAAGCAATTGTATATCACTCTTAAATCATACTGTCAGTTTGGCTTACAAAAAGAATAAAACAATTCAGCTGAAAACACATCATCATCTAAAAGCCATAGTAAACAGGAGTGCAAGGAAAGAAACTTGAAGGCACTCTTCATCGTTACCCAGGTTTATTTTCATACTTCCACCATTGTAGAGCAGAACTACTGCGCCTGCCTGAACACTCTCCAAAATGCATCCTGCACCTCCTTGTTCCTCAGGCTGTAGATCAAGGGGTTCAACATGGGAATCACCACTGTGTAGAAGAGAGAAGCCACTTTGTCTTGCTGCAATGCATAGCTGGAACTCGGTTGCAGATACATAAAGAAAATTGTCCCATAGAATAAGCTGACAACCGTCAGATGGGAAGTGCAAGTGGAAAAGGCTTTGCACCTGCTCTCACTGGAACGGATCCTCAAGATGGCAGCCAGGATACAGACATTGGAGATGAGGATGACCATCGTAGTGGAGGCGTTTTTCTTAGCTGATGAAAATGGGTTGTTCTGATGAGCACGGTGAAGGTGGTGCTTTTCGTCAAGTAAGGCCTTGATCTCTTCATCATTTTCATCAAACCAGTCCTGCTGTTTCCTGTGTGAGGGTCCAAGAACCTTTAGTGCAGAAGAGTGCACAATATCCTGGAGGCGTTCCCAGTCCTTCTCAGCATTTTCCTCTAATTGCAGCTCTGAGAGTTGGTTGTCAAGATCTTCTGCTAGTGAAGCTGCTGTGTTGGGGTTCCTCAGTTTACTGACATTGATCTTTTTCATCACAGCTTTGTTTCCCTGCGGATGTCTCTTAGGCTTGGTGTGAAGGCTTAATTTGGAGATGATGAGTCTGTGGTCGGTCCAACAGTGAGCACTCAGCATGGCCCTGGTCACCCTTACATCCTGTCTGTCTTTCCTCCGCACGATGACATAATCAATGAGATGCCAGTGCTTGGAGTGTGGGTGCATCCAGGACGTCTTTTTGCTAGTGGGCAGGTGGAAGATGGTATTAGTGACGATCAGCTCATGAGCCGCACATGTCTTCAGTAGTAATAGGCCATTGCTGTTACATTTGCTGATTCCATTTTTTCCAATGATGTCATCTCAGGCAGAGTGATCGGATCCTACTCTCGTGTTGAAATCGCCAAGTAGAATCAGCCTGTCGGTGCGCTTCATGGAAGAGAGTAGGGCATCGAGATCTTCATAAAACTTGTCCTTTACTTCATCCGGATTTGTCATTGTGGGTGCGTAGGCGCTGATCAGTGTGACTTGGTTTCCTCTTGGTAGTGGGAGATGCATTGTCATGAGTCAGTCCTTCACACCCTTGGGAAGACTGGCAAGTATGGGGACGAAATGATTCTTAACCGCAAAGCCAACTCCAGATTCACGACGTTCGTCACTGCTACGTCCACACCAGAAGAATGTGTGACCGCCTCTTGTTTCTGTGAGCTGACCTTCGTTGGCTAGGTGAGTTTCACACAGGGCGGCTCTATTGATGTTAAATCTTGCAAGCTCTCTGGCGACCAGGGCTGTTCTTCTTTCTGGTCGATCTGCTGAGGGGTTGTCTTGAAGCGTGTGTACATTCCACGTGCCAACAGTCAGTGGTGTTACCTTGTGTTTGCATTTTGTTTGCAGTTTTGTTGTTCGACCACATAAGATGGGAACCCCTCCAGCCATGATAAGCTGGTCAGGGTTCTGTGAAGCAACAATGTTTAGGGCACCTTTTCTAGCCCCTTCCTCTTGCTACGGAGGTGAGCAGTGTGGTCCTAAAGAGTCACTCAGTCACTCAGGTAGACGCCGAATCCAGCTGTTGCTTCGGTCAGCAAGAAGATAACCATTAGACCTGAGCCGCCTGTGTGCAGGTCCGCGGGCTACAGCTCCTAGTGTATCCACACCTGCTGCTTCGTCACTTGCCCATCGCCACAGGACTTTGAGGTTGAACTGAGGATGTCAAGACTTGCGCGTGGATTGGATTAAAGTGAGGGAGAGGTGCGCATAGTCAGCCTCACTCTCTCTTCCCAGAATCCACCTTGCTCCAGTGGCAGGACAAGAGTCGAGATGGTTGGAGATGGGCTGGGTGCAGTGGCTGACCAGGGCACCTTCGTGTCTTGCCGTGCTCTTAGTGTACCACAATGCTTGCAGAAACCACCTTCATGACCATTGGTCCTATTCCAGTAGGTCTCATCCGCTCAGTCCGCCGGAGTCTGTCTTCACATGCTCGGGACAGACAAATCCCTATCTCACTGAAGGTCTTGACCCAACGGCTACCCTCTACCTGGCTTGGCCAGCCTGTCGAAGCTGTTGCCCGGGGTGTGGCCACTGCGCATGCGACAGCTACTGGGAGCCACAGGTGAGAGCTGGGTGACAAGTGGGTACCAAAGGTGGACGAGCTGCCCTAAGAGGACACGACATGCCCCTGCACCAGAGGTGCTACCCCTCCCTGATCACCCCATACACCCCTATATATGTAACTACCACAAATTTATATTGGACGTATTCCCAGGTAACTGTATAGGTCTGTTGCAGCAAAAGTTGACTTTGGTCTAGGAATTATGCGAACTGTCTTCCCCAGGAACATATTTATCTTTTCAGTGCCAGTGAAGACCTTATTATTTCCATAGGTTCTTTTAATTTTTCTGCATTTCCTGAAATTCTTTGGCACTTTTAAGCCAGTATAATGCTTTTGTTTTCTTTCAATTATTCATTTATATCTTTAGGTTGAAATCCTATGCTTATTTGGATGGGGAAAAAGTCCTACAACCCCAGTATGCTCAAGACAACCTAATATTTCTTGGTTTTACCAAGCAAAAGGCATAATCCACTCAGAAAAGGATACTAGTCCTGCAATGTTTTTCAGGCTTTGTCAAACAGGCAAGGAAGTTCTAGCATTTCTTGATTTTGAAGTGATAGATAATGGAAAGACATAACAATTCAGATTTTCTGGAACAAGGTTCTAATCCGCACTTGAATCAGCATGGCTCAGAAGCAGCCCAAGCCGAATCACAGCCATTTTCAAAATCACATATATGTTCAGGCACAGTTTCCAAATGTATATGAGATGTTGAACTTTTCTTGGGGGTGGGTCACACAGCAAGCTCAGAAATATAGAGTGTTTCATCTCAGATCCCCTACGTTTTGCTAGAATAAATCAACATCCTATTTAATTTAAATGTTCTTAAAGTGTAAAATAATTCTATAAAATAAAATCCATTATTTATACCTTTTGAAAATCACACATTTATTTATTTATTTATTTATTTATTAAAACATTTCTATGCCGCCCCATTCGCCGAAGCCTCGGGGCGGCTCACAACATAAGATAAAGTACAAAAATAACAATATCAAATAAATAACAATATAAAAGAAGTCACCCTGGCCAGATAAATAAGCAAATACTGTTAACAATTAAAATGACGCTTAAATAAAATAAAATAAAATAAAAAGGTCTTGGCCTGGTGCCGAAAAACAAATAACGACGGCGCCAGGCGGACCTCTCTGGGGAGCGCATTCCATAGATTGGGCGCCACCGCAGAGAAAGCCCTCCTCCGAGTACCCACCCTCCTCATTTCTTTCACGGAGGGTTCCCGGAGAAGGGCCTCTCCCGCAGATCTCAATGTTTGGAATCATACTGCATCTGTATTTGTATAGATGGCTTCAAAGTAACACGATAGGTGTCATTTTTAATGTTAATTGAAGTGATGTTTAAATCAATCACACTCACAGGTTGATTTGCATTGCTATTTATTTACTGTCTTTTCCATCTAAATTTTCAAAGTCGTTTATATAGCAAGCACAAAAAACAATTCTAGGGCTGCATGAAAATGTTCCCCAACCCCGTCGACCCAGGAATTCTGACGTGAGTCCAGGGCCTCCATCCAGGTTTCAGACAGATAATAGGGTTTGGTGTCATCAATGTATTTTACTTATGTACTACAGCATTTATAACCTGCTCTGCATCAAAATACACTGGAGCACTGTAAGGTAAATTAAAGTAAAACATGCACCCAAACACTGCAACAGAAACAGAAACATCAATAAACCATTGGCTTGGACGAGTCATTAGACAGAAAATGGTTGGCTGAAAGAATAGCCCTCAGCACAACCTGGAAACAAAGGAACTCAATGTATGCCTAATCATCACCACAGTCAGAAGGGGATTGCACAGGCATGGAATACACACCGGACCCCAAACCAGATTGATCTGTTTCATCTGCCTCAGCAACCATCCCTCACGCAAGCACTTTGCTCAAGATTAGCGATATTGGGCAGGACCATGGGTGAGGAAGATGCTGCGCCCTGGATGTTGTTGGACTACAAATCCCATCAGCCCTAGACAGCATAGCAATGGAGAGGGATAATAGGAGATGTAGTCCAACTACATTTCTGGTCCTGCTGTTTATGTCATCAGCTAATCCGAGGATCTCTCAGTGGAACAGAGCTTTTCAGAGCAAATCACTGGAGGCACAAAGATGTTCATATACACAGCTAGCCAGGAGGCTGCCAAGGGGGACCCGTCCACAGCGCAGGAGGGAAGGGAACACACATCCACAGGTGAGGCTGGGCAACTGGGGTCACTCAGAGCCAGTTCAGATTTGGTTTTATTCGAAGGGGTGATCCTGCATTTTACCCTGAAATTGCATGCAAAGGAGGCACCTGTTAATGCGAGAACTAGGCATGTTCAGCCTCAAGAGGAGAAGACTAAGGGGAGATATGATAGTACTACACAAGTACCTGAGAGGCTGCCACAAAGAGGAAGGACGAGAACTCTTCTCATCCATTCCAGAGTGCAGGACATGGAATAGCAGACTTAAATGGGGAAAACAGCAGATTTAGACTAGACACCAGGAAGAATTTCCTCACTGTCAGAGCAATATGACAGTGGAACCAGCTGCCTAGAGAGGCTGTGGGCTCTCCCACATGAGAGACATCCAAAAAGAAGCTGGACAGCCATCCGAGTGGAATGGTGTAAGCTGGTGTCCTGCAACAGCAGGGATGGGACTGATGGCCTTCATGGCCCCTTCCACCTCTCTTGTTCTAGGTGTGCTGCTTTTGCTCAGAACCAGGACAGCAGGCAGGACCTGGCTGTCGCAGCATGAGTACTTATCAAACGTTAAACCTTCTTCACACTCAGAGGGGGAAAGGTGCCAAGCCTCTGCTGAGCAGTGCCCTCCCTGAGCCTGACTTCCCCCTCAGGGTCCTCGTTGGTGTTCTGGAGACAGTGGCATCAGAAGGTGTTTATACCGTGGGAAGAACCCATGGTGGATAACAGTTTCCATGGTGGATAACTTCTTTCACACTGATTTCAGAGAGTGGTGCCACAGAAGATGGTGTGATCATAGGAGATCTCTGCAGCACCACAACCAAAAATACAGGTGCTCAGTTTCACTTAGAAAGCAGACGAGAGATCCTGAAGTCACCACCAGAATTCATCATCTGCACCCCCTCTTTGGAGACGTAACACTGCAGATTAGTACTGGTCATGTGAACCAGCTCCTCTCCATTTCAGGCCACCTGCAAGAGGATGGCGGCAGCAGTGCAATAAATGGCAGGCGCCAATCACACTGAGAGCTCGGTGCAGGAGTTCATGTTGTCTGGAATCACCGACCGCTCTGATCTGCAGCTCCCCCTCTTCATCGTCTTCCTGCTGATCTACTTACTGACTGTGATGTGGAACCTCGGGATCCTCTTCCTGATCTGCATGGACAGCCACCTCCACAGCCCCATGTACTTCTTCCTCAGCCACCTGGCTTTTGTTGATCTCTGTTATTCCTCTGTCATTGCCCCCAAGATGCTGGCCAACTTCTTAGCAGCGAAGAAGACCATTTCGTTCCATGCCTGTGCAGCGCAGTTGGGCTGCTTCCTCACGTTCATGATCACCGAGTGCTTCCTCCTGGCCGGGATGGCCTATGACCGCTATGTAGCCATCTGCAGCCCCCTGCGTTATCAGACGATCATGTCCCAAAGAGTCTGCATCCAGCTGGTAGCTGTCCCGTACCTATACAGCTTCTGTGTTGCCCTCTTCCACACAATGCTGACATTCCACTTGTCCTTCTGCTCTGCTAACGTGATCAACCATTTCTATTGCGATGACCTTCCCCTTTTAGCCCTTTCCTGTTCCGACACCAGCACCAAACAGATACTGACCTATGTTTTTGCTGGGTTTAATATGATATGCTCCCTTCTCATTGTTCTCATCTCCTACGTGTTTATCTTCTTGGCCATCCTGAGAATCCGTTCTGCTCAGGGCCAGCACAAGGCGTTCTCCACCTGTGCATCTCACTTGACAGCTGTCACCATCTTCTACGGAACTCTGATCTTTATGTATTTGCAGCCCAGTACGAACCACTCTCTAGTGACAGATAAAATAGCCTCTGTGTTCTACACGCTGGTGATTCCGATGCTGAATCCCCTGATCTACAGCCTGAGGAACAAAGAGGTGAAACATGCTCTGAAGAGGACAATGCAAAGAATGGTGATTGCTCCCTAATCGGTGGTTACACAAACAATTTACTTCCCATGTATTTTATGCCTGGCATGAGATAATGCAAGCTGTAAGTGGCTCAAACAGTGGACAGGCAGAATACAAAAAGTCAGAAGATACCAACAGAGGTTCCCAGGTGGGCTGAGTCCTTTTGTTTGGTTGCTGGTCCTATCACTCACTGTGTGTGGGGATGTGAAAATGCTACCATTCAGCTTCAGAATGTCATGCTAGTGTGTCCCCTAAGTTTGTTTGTTTGTTTATTAAAAGCTTTTGTATGCTGTCCTATTATATAGAATCTCAGGACGGCTTACAATATTTAAAAGAACAATTAGAACAACCATTTCAAATAAATCATAAAATAGAACAAACAATAAATCGCAAAGCAACCAGAGCAAAGTTGAACCTGATCTTTGGCTGCCAGCCATCAACTTGCATTAAATTTCACAATAACTTGGAGGCAAAACATTCAACTGCAGTGCATTCCCTCTGTTTTCCTTTCAACTCTTTGCTCTCCCATTCCTCAGGATATGGCCTTGTTATCTTTTCGGAGACACCGTCCAAAGAGATTTGACTGCCCCTAAGTGACTCCAGCAACAGGAGTCGGTTTTACCCGTCGGAAAAGGAAATGTCATACCTGCCATTTGCAGCATGAATTAGAGATTGAAGCTGGGCTTAGATGGGACTCAGCTGGTTAAAGAAAGTGAAGGCACTGCTCTGGCTGGAGCCACTGCGCTTACACTGCACTTGCACTGCACTGTGTGAGAGTTGCTGCAATGGCTTCTCCAGCGTTGGGCTGACACGGGTGCAAGGGCCGTGTCTGGTACCTCTGCAGCTCAGCCCCAAGGAAACATGGGAACTGCCACCGAGCCAGACAGGGAAGGAAAGGCGGAAGGCACTCTGAGGGGCCCGAGGGCCTGGGAGCAGAAGGCTGGGGAGAATTGCAGAGACGGAGAGGAGGAAACCAAGCTGTTATCCACTCTTTTAGAGGACAGCCGGGCCGCACCCTCAGGACCCGGAGGGGAGGGTGGGAATGGGAGCCCCAAGATTTACTCATCGGAGGAAAGGAAGAGGCAATGCACGGTCACACAGCAGTACAAGAGATGTGCAGAAAGGTGACCCAGTGATAAAACCCACCTTGGGAAAGGGATGTTGCAGTCTGCTTGGCTTGAGAAGTGCCTGCACTCGCAAATCCACAGTGCTAGGGTCTGCTTGTTTGCCTACCTAGCCATGCAATCAGGCTAGCAGGCACAAGGAACAAGTAACACTACATTTCTCTGTAGTGGATCTCTGGCCTAGCAGGCCCCTTCATCACAGGCCTTCAAGTGGGCCTCAAAGATTTGCCCTGTATTTGAGTTAGGGCCTTATTCGGTACTTTGCATATATGCTGACATCTTGTTTTCATTGTTATCATTATGTTATGATTGTCTGATGCTTTTCCTGGTTTTCAATCTTGCATGCTAACTTGGAAGGTTTCCCCTAAAAGGTGGCTTATAAATATTGTAACTATTGTAAATAGATAAAGAAGAGGAAAACTTCCACAGAAGAGAATTTGGAAAGAGACTAATGTAATAAGGCTACAGAAGGATACGCTATAGAGAGTTTTATATCTTTTCTTAACAAAAAGGGGATAGAAGGAGATAGACTCATATACAAGTAGAGCTGGAAGTGGCCAGAGAGCCACTGGGTCCAGCCCCATCATGTCTTCCAGTAACGAGGGATCCCAGTGGGCAATGGATGCAGGCTGTTTTTGGCATAATGCATAAACCGCCACATAACAATCTGTCCTCTCGCTTTGGTCCGCTGCACTGACTGGGCTCTGGGTGCCAGCACTGATTTAATAAGCATCTTGACTGCATAAGCAATCCTATGTGGAACCACTCCATTCTGAGTAATCCAGCACTTTTAACTACCAATCTGCCTTTTCCATAATTTATGGAAGTAAATCTACGTGAAAATAGAAAGCTGTATCTGCAACAGATCCTGTCCTAGACACAAGAACTACTTGACATGGCTACATCCCACATGATTCACACTCCCATGCCAAAACTCGAGAAGGCAGAATATTGTCTGTCTCCCAGTCAGGACCAAACCACACAGCACTTTAATGTTGTCCCTTTCACAAACTTAGGAATAGGTGCAGGTCCCCCAGTTTGGGTCGGTGCCTAGCCTGGGGTGGGGTAAGGGCAGTTTTAACCCTTTCCCCAGGCTGCAATCCCAGTCTGGATCCAAATCAACATAATCCAGATAGAGAATACAATGGAAGTCAATCCGTCTGTTCAGCGCAGTGTGCGTTGAAGGTACTTCTACCATTTCATTTCCTGTTGCTTTCGGAAAGGGTTTTTATGCTAAATTTGTGTTTGCACTTGCAAGAACACAATACGAAGATTGAAGGGGTGGGTGGATTCAGGTGAGGTGTCCACATCATGTAGACATATCACAGTGGCTACAGACTGTAATATTGGCCTCAGCTAATGGCAGATTCCATGCGAAATATTCCAGGGGCGTGTCCTCCAGCAATTTCTCAGCCACCCCAGACTATTAGCCAGGAATCAGTTTGACCAACTTAGGCATTTTTCAGGGACCTTATTCCAGTGCCGGTGCAGGTGAAGGCAAGGAAGACAGCAGCAAGGGGACAAGGGGGAAGGCCAAAAGAAAAGGAAGAGGAGGAGGAGGAG